TGCATGGAAAATTAAATACACATATACTGTACACACACACACACACACACACACACTGAGCTGCAGCTCATCATTAGCTTAGCATGGTGCGGCTGTTGTTGCTAACGAGGTGGCAGAGATCAGTTTGGCGTATTTTTGGGTTTTGTCACCCAGAAATGAACCGTTTTCTTCCCTCAGCGACTTTGTTTGTTTGAGAACGTAATTGTTGTTGTTTGTTTGTTTATAAAAGGTGATTGTTGCTGTAAACAAAACGTTTTATTTTCCCTCATCGGAGGATTCCGAGGACGTTCTGCCAAGTCTTCATTCTTAATCTGGAGCTGGTCCTACGCTGAAGGGTGGACGACGCGTTAGCAAAATATCTCGTGTACCTCTGGGCCGAGTGGTAGTAGCTGAGAGTACCTGAACAAATACTAACAGATCACATAACAGACATTTCTCAACAAACATCGCCATAAGGCAAACTGTGGCGGGCGATATGCAAGCAGCACCATCAGATCCCATAAGGCCACTTGGGTTTTATTAAACCTAAAAATGTCTTCATGTCCATTTCAGTTGTTTTATTTAGCAGAAGGAACGACGAGAGGCTCGTAAATCTCTGCTGTTGTTGGTATTTCAGTCCCGGAGGGAAGGTAAGCTCATGTTGGCTCGTCCTTCCTTCCAGTGTTCGTCTCTCAGCAGCTGCTTCCTCTCGGGCCCTGCAGCGTTTCGTGGGACTAAACGCTGAGTTAGCACCACATTCCTGAAAACATTCTCCGTCCGCAGAGAAATAAAACTCGGGTTTACAGAAGTATCTGTCGGTGTTACGCAAGAGAGCAAGGAGTCGACATGAAGGCCTGCAGGTGTTCCTTTTACCGCTAACACGACCCACGTGCCGGGTTTATACGACCGCATGAGTAACCAGAAAATTATTCTGCTCTTGCTTTTCATCACTTTGAACAGAATCGCTGTTTTAATTGCCTCAATGTGCCACGTTCCGCCAAAGAACGAACGGTTCTCGTCACGTTCGTCTTGTTTTACGAGCTGAAGGCCGATAGGCCGCCGGTTGACAAACGCTGTTTTGGGTTCGGGCTTATTACACCGTGTGCGACACGTGGAATTATCCGGTACACTGATCATTTACCACAGCTGACGATTGAAGCCGAGGGCGTATGGAGCGGTCTGGTCTAATTCCTGGGGACTCAGACGGAGGCTTTAATAACAGAGGCTGATGTCCTGCTGCTGCTCAGCTGGACAAACACTCCATTGTTGCTCCAGCTGCGCACGCTCAAAAATACACACGCACGTCAACAAACATGCAGTTCTATAACAATTATTAACAAGAGCTTCTTAAATTAATGTCATGTTTTCATTTGAGGGGCTGTTGATCACGTTGAAGCTGTGAAAAAAAATTGTTGTTGTTTATGTGCTGGAGTGCAGCGGCTTCTAAAGTTTTTATAAAAATGGGCAAAAAATTAAATTAAATAGAGAAATGAGCGTTTCTGTGGAAGTGAATAAAAAAGCTGAAAGTCTTTTCTGAAACCAGCTGAAGATGATGAAATTCAGCTGTTGAACTGAGCCAAAAACTAATAAATAGCTAAAGGTAGCAACATGCAAAAAAAGCTAAAACCAGCAAATGGCTACTTTGAAGCTAAAGCAGTTTAAGGTTTACTAAAACCTAAAAGTAGAGAACACTAGGTAAAAGTTCAAGCTAAATGTTAGCTATAATGTAAAGGTAGCAAAAGGCTGGTTGTAAGCTAAAAGTAGTAAGTGGCTATAAAAGCCTAAAGTAGCAGAATAGTAGCTACAAGTTAGCAAATGGCTAGGAAAAAAATGCAGAACATTAGCTAAATGTAGCAAAAGCCTAGATAAAAGATAAATATGTCTTAATTACAAACTACAAGCTGGTTAAAAAAAAGACATAAATAAGATTACAAAATGAACCTCTCTGAATGTAGCACAATCTAAAAGTAACAAAAGGTTACCAGTAGTTAAAAGTAGCAAAAGGCTAGCTAAAAGCTAAAAGTAACAATGGGCTAACTGAAGCAAAGCGTAGATTATCTAAAAGCTAAAATTACCAACAGGGTCTCTAAAACCCAGAAGTAGTTAAAGCCCAACTAAAAACTGAATATAGCAAAAGGCTAGCTATAAGTTTAAAGTAGCAATGCATTCTGGGTAATGATGTCAAATGGTTGCTGCAGCGGTTGTACGCTGACAGAGAATAATAAAACTTCAGTCATAAAAGTGAAGCCCAAACAGCTAATAGTGATATATATATATATATATATATATATAATTAAAATAAACAGCTGATTGCGTTAAATTAAAAAATAAAAGCCTCCTCCCAGTGTTTGTAACTTTGAGAGAAGCCGACAGGTTTCTTCTTCACCTGCTGCCCTCCACACCTGCAGCTTATACCTTGATTCTTATCGCCGCCTGAGCCAGCCGAGCGTCTCTTTCTTTGTCTGAATCGTTCTTCGGCATGTTTTTGTTAACTTGTCAGCTCTTTGAAGATTTCTTCACAATTCTACCTGAAACCAACATAGATAGAATAGATAAGAAAATAAAACAGGAAGCACATTTTAATGTGAAAATCCAGCATAAAGGCTGAGGTCTGAATGACTGCTGACATTACCTGTTGTTAAAGCTAAAAGATACAGAACAGTAGCTAAAAGCTAAATGTAAAAACAATTTAGCTAAAAGTTGCAAAGGCTATTAACAGATTAAACTAGGAAAATATACAAAGCAAAAGGATAGCTGAAATAATAAACGGTAAGCTAAAAGTTTGAAGTAAGAGACGTTAGATAATAAGAAGAAAGAAAACGCTAAATGTAGCAAAAACCCACAGCGCAATAGTAGTATGAAGTGAATATGATAAAAGGCAAAACAAAAAACAAATGCTGTCTAAATAAAGCAAAAAGCTATCTATGAGCTAAAGAAGCTAAATTTTAGCATAAAGCTAATGTAGTGAAAAGCTATGTAAAAATAGGAAAAGGCTAGCCAAAAGTAGCAGCTTAAAACTCAAAATAGCAAAGTGCTTGCTAAAAGTAACAAAAGGTTAACTAAAAGCTAGAAGTAATAAGATGCTAGCTAAAGTAGCTATATGCTAACCAAATCTCTAAAACATTTAAAAAGTAGCTAAAAGTAGTAAAATACTAGTTAAAAGCATGAAATAGCAAAAGGGTAACTAGCAAACGTTAACTAAAAACTAAAAGTAATACGATGCTAAAACTTTTGCTAAAAGTAGCAACAGGCTAGCTGAAAGCTAGAGCCGATGTAACAAAAAGCCCATTCAAAGTAGCTAAAAGGTGGCTAAAAGCTAAAAGGAGATTAAGAAGACTCAGAGGCAGTTTGCTGAAAATTAAAAAATAAATTGTTTTTGAAGGAACTGAAGAGATTTTAATGCATTTAGAATTAGTTCCATCCATCCATTGTTCATCCATCATACATCCATCATTCATCCATCCATCAATTATCCATCACCCATCTATCATTCATCCATCATCCAGCTATCATCCATCTATCATTCATCCATCATCCATATACATCCATCATTCAGCCATCCATCCATCATCATCATCCATCCATCTATCCATCATCGATCCATCAATTACTGTATACATCCATCCATCATCCAACATCCATCAATCCCTTCATTCATCCATCAACTATACATCCATCATTCATCCAACATCATTCATCATCAATCATTCATCCATCAACCATCATTTATCATTCATCCATCCATCCAACCATCCATCCATCCATCCATCATCATCCATCTATCATTCATCCATCATTCATTCATCATCCATCCATCCATCAATCCATTATCTTTACCTCTTCTTCCTTTCTGGGTCACAGGTGTCACTGGTGTCACTGGTATCACTGGTGCCCATGTCCAGAACCCAATGTGCAAGTGGC